ATTTCGAAGAAAGACTATATCCAAATCCAACCCAAAAAATGGATATGAGTAGAAGGACTTTAGAGATGGTTAGGACCAATTCTACCCATGAGTTCACCCCATTAATTCCGATGTAGTTGGGTAGGATGGCTTTAAGCTTGCTTTGGTACAATTCTACCCATGGGTTCACCCTAATAACTTTTTTCTTTCAAGGGAATCTCCTTGGAACTCAGTGGATATGAGTAGAAGGACTTTAGAGATGGTTTCGACCAACTCTACCCATGAGTTCACCCCATTAATTCGGGAAAATCCGGTCAATCCTCTCGCAAAGTCAATGTAGATGGGTAGGATGGCTTTGGGCGTGCTTTGGTACAATTTACCCATGGGTTCACCCTAATAACTTTTTTTTTCAGGAGAATCTCCTTGGAACTCGGTTTCTTTTTTCTGAGATAGGATTTTGTTATTTATGAGAATTTTAGGGTTAAAGTTGACTTTTTTCCTATCAGAAAAAAGTCAACTTTAACCCTAAAATTCTCATAAATAACAAAATCCTATCTCAGAAAAAAGAAACTAAATACCTTGGTGTTATTTTAGATTGTCATTTGAATTGAAAAAGCCATATTCATGAAATATCAAAAAAAGTTGCTAGAGGTATTGGCATCTTATTTCGTATAAGACATTTTGTTAATACCACTATCCTAGTCCAACTATATTATTCACTAATTTATCCCCACGTAACTTATGGTATAATCATGTGGGGTAACACTTACAAAACCACAATTCGACCTCTCCTAATTCTCTCCCATATATGCGTTATATAGGTATGTGCCCCCCCAATAGGGTATGGTTTTACAACTGTTCAATCCTTAAATGGGGTACGATTTTTTATTTTTATCAGTCAACTTCACATAATGATTGTGAATAACGCTACTCTGGTAGTCCCTAATATAGGCTACACAAACAATAACATGAAAAACAATGAACTTTGAGTCAGTCAATAAACTCTGTGTCAAGTGGACGTATTTGGCATTCGTATATTTCAATTACAATCCTTGGAAAGGGTATGAATTTTCCAATTTTTTATCCTTAAATAGGGTAAGGGTTTCGACATCCAAAGTAAAAAGTAACTTTTTTTACTTTGGACCAATTCTTCCCATGGGTTCACCCTAAAAATTATTTACTCTGCGTATGTGAGTACATCTCTTTGCTGATGATTCAAATCTGTTCTACTCTGACAAAAGTCTTATACTTCTTGAAACTACTATTAACCAAGAATTAATTAAAGTGAATGATAAGATATCTGGATAGGTGGCTTGCTTTCTTCATAAAAGTCACACGGGAGCTATTTTCACGACACTTGATGCCGGACTAATTCATACATGTATGTAATTGAAGTAATTTGGAAAAAAAAAAACCTCACTGTGGCATTTTGAATTATGAAATAAAAATACATACATACCTAGCAGATGTATGCATAGCTAAATTAGGGGAAAAGTTTAAAGAATACCTTCTTTTCCTTCCTCCATCTTATCAATGTCAATGTCATGAATGCTATCCTTAAATTATTRCATTGCACAAATGATCATGTAACAGAGACATAAACCATAGACAGAAAAAAAACCCTAGAAAATCCTTTTAAAAAAATTAGATAGTACAACTCTATACAACTAGCAAATAGAATAGCTACATGTATATTAATGACTTTTAAACAGCTTCTCTTTGAAATTTCAAATGTTTCTTGGTGTCCCCAAATGTTCCCCCAGGAGATAAATTACTGTGAGGTGTCATATTGG